ATTTGGGATTAAAAAGACAATTTCCAAATGCCGAATTTGAAGTTCCCGCGCGATCCGCGCCAGAGCAGTGAGTCAAATTTTGCGGTCTCCTGCGGCTAGACTTTCTTTCGGACCTCCGCTCCACGCTATGAAGCAAAGCGCCATTGCCACTGCGACCCAAAGCGAGGAGGAGATGAGCAGGCGGAATAGAAGGGCGCCGGCGCGGGAAAAAAACAGTTTCTTCTTTGACTCACCGATGATCCTCTGCTCGAGCGCCGTCAAGTTTTCTGAGGGAGGCAAGGAGGATTGGAGGGAGGACACAAATCAAGGAAGCGACATCACACCGAACTCTAATTTTTGGTATTTCAAAAAGAGGGCTCCTGACTCCCTGGCCTGGGACGAGCGTCTTCGGCGTCGTCATCAGTGGTCGTCAGGAGGCGTCGCTAACATAGTAGAATCCCTGGAGAAGAAGTGGTGCTTCAGAGAAGTTGCCCTGACAGTCTGTTCTGTCCCCGAAGTCACGAGCAGAGGAAAGGAGACCCAAGCAGCGGCCATGATGCTGAACTCTAGGCTTAGAAAAATGTGCAAGAAGATACATGCCAAGTACGTGGACCTGAGCAGGAATTTGGTAAATGACGGTTTTATGGAAAAGGACGGGCTCCGGTACAGCAACCAAGGCATCAACATGGTGACTGGCCGCTTAGTAGGACTCGCCAACCGTTTTTTAGGCAGGCAAGGAAAGGACAGAAGAATGAAGGCACTACAGGACCGCGAGCAGGATGGACTTGTAAATCCTGCCCAACAACGGCCAATACACGAACCCATGAACCAGACAGCTGGCACAGAGTGTGGGCAGACCAGGACTGCCCCACTGCTAGTGGGTCACGTGCCGTGCGGAGAGCTGTGGCAGCGACTGTCGCAGGGAGCATACGTCCGACGCCAACAGGGTGGAGAAGAGAAAGACCAATCCACGCCACAGGGGACCACCGTGCAGGAGCGGCATGCCCACAGTGGTTGGCAACCGTCGATGAGGGGAGGAACATCGGCGTACCCAGAGCAAGGTTGGGTCCACCCGGGGCTGATGCGGCATCCGACCGGAATCGGCCTGTCAATGGGAGACGCTTCCAGGAGGATCCAAGAAGACCCAACTCTTCAATATCACCGCGAGGACATCACTGCAGAACTGACGCCAGTCCAGGATGGACGAACCCCTGTGTACCCGCCGCCGCTTGTCCGACACCCTATGCACATGAGCCCTCCAGCAATGCCTCCTTTGTGGCTCAGCAGCCTGGTAGCGGAGACGGTGCGCCAGCAGCTGGGCATCGGGGTTCATGGACCCATGAAGTAGTAGAGCGGCAACGCGGCTCCAACAAAGGCGCACTGAAACGTGGAGCTGCGAGGAGGAAACGGAAGAAGCATCACAGGAGCATGACAGTGACAGTAGGGTTTCTCAACCTGCAAGGAGCACGACGGGAGCAAAAGTGGGAGGAACTCTTTAACCAGTTGAAGTCCGAAGGAATGGCCATCTTTGGGGTGGCCGAAACGCACCTTAGAGACCTAGAGGAGCCCCCGGTGCGCCCGGGTTGGCACTGGGCTGGGTGCAATCGCCAAGAGGGTCAACGAAGAGGTGGTGGTGTTGGGGTTCTATGGCGGGACACGACAGTGTTGCTCAGGACGCTCGACAGGTGCAGAGATCACATCTGGGTGGAGGGAGAGTTGCTACAAACCCAAGTGTCTGTGTGTATTGTCTATCTCTCGGTGGGGAGTGCGTGCGACGAAGAGAACGAAGCTACTATTGCGTGTGTCACCAAAGATATTAAGGCACTGGAGAAAGGCAGGAATGTCTTGATCATGGGGGACTTTAACGGCCATCTCCATGAACTTGACGGATGGGAAGATGCTAACGGGCGTCGGCTACTGAATCTAGCAGACGAGTTTCAACTTGAACTAGTTAACTTACGGGCATCATGCAAGGGTCAATACACGTGGTGTGCCAGAGGAAGCAGAAGCTGCATAGATTACGCGTTGGTGGCTTCGCGCCTTGGTAAGAGCCTAGTTGGTGTTTCCATCGACGAGGAAGGCGAGCACAGCGTCGGCAGCGACCACAATTGCCTGCGACTGGACTTCAGTAAAAACACATGGACAAAGGCGAAAACCCGTCCTCAGTACAAGAGACGAACACATCTGGCTCAGAAGGAGGTGGAAAGGGTCACGAAGAAATTTGAAAGAAGCAACATAAGGATACAAGCGTCTGGTTACAGACAGTACATCACAGAGCTCAAGCGTCTCATCAAGCAACATGCATCCAGGCAGCCCAGTGGACGGAGAGTGAGGAAGAGGTGGTGGGACACAGAGGTTAAAGAAGCTATACTGGCTAGACAGAAAGCCAACAGGGAACATCGACAATCGCTCCGAACTGAATCTGGGAGTGAGGTTGCTAGAAGATGGACCATGTACCACGACTGCAAGTGCTATGCTAAACGACTAACCCAAGAGAAGATGAGAACAGCGGATCTGGAGACCGTCCGAGATATTAGATCTAGTGGAAGGGACGCAGCGAGAAAGTTCTGGAAGTACCTTGGATCGCTGAAGGGAAAGGACCAAGATGTTACCATAATTGACGAGAGCACGGGAATCCGCCAGAAGACCTTGGAACCCACCTCACCAAGTAAATGACGGAGACGTTTGCTCCTGAGGAGGTGTCCACACCACAAGAAGGCCGACTTGCCCCGGATCAATCGGACTCCAACCAAGAGGGGGACATCGGCCGAGTGATGGTTGTGCGTGCACTGGCACGCTTGAAAGGGGCTACTTCCCAGGGATTGGACGGGGTCCCGGCGAGCGTTCTCAAGTTCTTGGGAGAAGATGCAGTGGAGCAGCTGGCGGATATTTTTGGAGCAATCTTAAGGGGAGAGGAACCTGTGCCCCAAAACTGGAGGGTCGGCCGCGTGGTTCTGATCCCGAAGAGAGGGGGCGACAAACAGTTCCTCAAGGATTATCAGCCCCTGACCGTGACCTCTACGGTATACCGCACCTTCGCCCACATTATCAAGGAACATATGGCAGCATGGGCTGAAGAAAACGAACTGCTCACCGAACTTCAGGGCGGATTTCGGAGGGGTCGAAGGTTGGAAGACAACCTGTTCACCCTCACGTAGTGTATTGAAATTGCCCGAAAACAGGAAAGAAGACTGCTGTGCTGCTTTCTAGATGTGGCACAAGCATATGACAGTGTGCCGCACGCTCAACTCGTGCGACGTTTGGAGGAGCTCCACCTTCCTCATCGGTGGCTAGCTGTCATACGGCGCCTATACTCACGCAATACAGTAATGACGCAACTGAAGGGAGTCGACTCAGAGCAAGTCACAGTGACGAGGGGTCTCCGACAGGGGTGCCCACTCTCCCCGCTTCTTTATATTCTGTATGTGTCAGGGTTGGAGGAACGCCTGATCTAGTCGGAGGTGGGTTTTTCCCTGACACACATGGAAGGAGGCGCAGAGGTGAGGTGGATGCTGCCGGGCCTCACCTATGCGGACGATATTGTATTGACGGCGGAGACGGTGGAGGACCTGCAGCGTCTAATATGTATATGTGAGACGGAGGCGGCTACGTTGGGCCTTCGTTTCAACGCCAAAAAGTCGGCAGTCCTTCAATTAGCCGGGTCCGATCAGGCTAAATTAAACAGTCTGGTGCTGAACGGCGAGCAAGCACAGGTACAGGAGTCGTACAAATACCTGGGAGTTGTACTGACTAACAAGCCGGAGTACTTCTCCAATCATTGATCATTACACCCACCTCCGACAGGCAGCCGTGCCAGGTACGAATGTACTCCGAAAACATAATCTTTGGAGTTGCAATCGTTTTCTGGTTACTCGCGAACTCTGGAAGGCGGTTGTGGTGCCTGGACTAACCTCCGCCAACGCGGTTCTTTGTGTCCCTGGCACAGTACGGGAAGTAATGGAACGTCGTCAACGAGAGGTCGGGAGGCAGGCTCCGGGCTGTCACGGAATGGTGGCCACCGAAGCGGTCCAGGGAGATCTTGGGTGGTCATCGTTTGAGGCCAGGGAGGCGACCAGTAAGATAACCTACAACAGTCGTCTCCGTCTCATGGACCGCGGCCGGTGGACCAAGAGACTCTTCGTCTACACATATCTCACGGGAATGCAGACTGGCTGGAGGAAGCGGCTGTATCAGTTAGAGAAGAAATACGGCTTCTTTTCAACCCCTGTAACTATTACATCAGACAGGAAGTGGGAAATGGAGATTCGAAACAGGGTGAGAGAGGAGGAGGCAGCTCGGTTGGCAGAAACGGCGAAGTCCAAGTCGACGCTATATATGTACTATTGATATAAGCACAGCATTTCGGCAGAGACTAGGCTATACGACAACAGCCTGGGTAGCCGGCTCCTCTTTGAGTCACGCGCAGGAGGGCTTCGACCAGACGGTGGAATCTGCAGCATGCCGTGTGTGTGGTCAGGCGGATGAGACAATTGAACACATTGTGCTGTCGTGCACCGGTCTGCAACCAGTTCAACCGGCGGAGTGTGGACAGGCAACCCGGGAGCTCGCACTGGCAGAGGCACTCGGCTTTGGGTCTGCTTCCAGCTCAGTGGCAGACTCTGCGGGTGGGACTAACGGCAACGACAACGCCGACGCTACACCGAGAACCAACGGAGGGTGGCGTGAGCAGGTGGAAGCCTCGAAACGAAGATTAGAGAACTGGTGGATGCTAGTTCACCAACGGGGATAACCGAATTCCCACTGGCTAGGTCGGCTAGGTCCCAAACTCTACGGGACCGCCCGATTCAAAAGGGAACAGCCGCAAACCATCATCATCATCAAGTCTATGTTCAAGACCTCTCACTGCAAAGTGGTTGCAATTTCAATATTTACAATCCTTTTTTTATTTGTTAAAATGCGGTTGCCTCAGTTGGGTCCAGTCCAACGACATTGATTTCTGCTGAATTTAGCCATTTTTCGTTTTTTGTACATGTAAGACCGCATAGACGAGCCCACGAGCCTAGGCAATCCAATCCAAAGCAGAGGCGGTCTTGCGCACAGTGGTCTTGCGGTACTTGGGTACTTGCGGCACTTGCGGTCTTGCCTGGGTACTTGCCAGGGTGTTTCCGGTGTTTCTGTTCACCTGTGTAGATTTGGAGGTAACGGCTGTCTCTGAGTTGACCATGTTGCTCCACGGCTTTCTTGCCGTGCTTCTTTGCGCGTCCTTCGTGTCTGCGGACGAGAAGGAGCCGGCAGACAAAGTTATAGTCAAGGCTCGTGTCGAGGTACCCGTCTTTCCTTAGTGCTACGTGTACTGCCCGGCGCTCAGCACGGGTTCCTCGTTTCTAACCTCTCATTGTTCATCTGGACCGTTGCAGAGCTGCGGCGGATGACGACTGAACGCCTATCCCGAGGTGAAGAAGTTTGTCTATGACGACATTCCACTCTTGTATCCTACATAATGCGCGAGATTTTGTTACTCAAGTGGTGGTGTTCCGTTTTAGACACCCCGTAATAATGCTTTGTTTGTTTCTTACTTGGCTTCTGTGAATGAAAAATGCATGTGCCCAACATCATGGGACACCGTAGGTTCTTTCGAGTGAGGAACGTTCATCGGTATTTTTGTTCATTCGCCATGCGGACGAATGTAGACGTGGCACTTCGTGGAATTAACTTTTTTCGCTAAGCTGTAATTAAAGAAAAGAAAGATGTGGCCAGGTGTTAATGTTCTATTGAAGGAGTAGGGGGTCCCTTCGGCCTGAAGAAACGTAAAAATCATCAAAACAAAAAAACGCGGCGGATTATTACAATTCGTCGTCTCGCTTTGCCAAACCATAATTGCTAACTTTAGATTTTTTTTTTTTTTTTTTTTATTACTGCATGTGTTAAGTGACCAGTAGTCATTGCGCTGTAGTAAACACTGTTTGCCATATCATTTGAGAAAATTGGCTTTGCCTGTCCAGGCAAGCTTTGGCACAGGTGGCAATTCAAACCTTATGACAAAACAAAAGTATGTTCTAAAAAGGGCACCAGATGTTGAATCGTTTAAAAATACGTAGGTGTGGCATTGTACAGCAGAACTTGTCTCATAGATCGAGCGGTGGAAAAATTGTGCCAGAATGCCGGGGAGAACAACAAAATAGGGCAGCTGGAAACGGTGCAAGCGAAGCAGGCGAGTTGGTTCATGTACTGTGTGCTTCTCTCTTTGTCCCTGCCTTTTGTGCGCTGCTTTTAACATTGTTGAATTTTTAATAAAAGCACAGAATGCACAGTAATCAAAATGGAGGTCCCATTTTCAATGGACAGTGTTTGTCTAAACTGTGATTCCATCAAATGCGCCCGTTATCTAAACTGAATTTTGACGAGATGGCGAAGGATCAAATGTAGTAGACCCACCTTCGTCAGCAACAGTTGGGTCCGGATGTTGTGCCTCGCAGAAAGGATGCGAGCTTGCAAGCTGGCCTCTTAACCGCACTTGCTGCGTTTTACAAACTCGCCCGATACTTTCCAAAATTTGTGACGCTGACGGTGACATTAAAGCTACTGGTACGGGTTCACAACTCTTAAATGAAGTTTCCTTGCACAGCGGGTGAAAGAATGCTGGTGGTACTTGTTTTCATAGCTCAGAGTTATGCCACCTTGTCTGATCACCACCGACATCTCAATGTCCTACTATTTGCAATCAATTTCGCGTCTTAAGAAAATGAAATTTACTAGCGTGTGAAATGAAGCACAGACATTCACCATCTCCACTAACACCTTCTCTGCTAAAGCGGCTCTACAGTTGGTCGGTTATGCTACGTGGCCACAAACGCGTCTGGTAAAAAGTTCTCCTTCAATCTCCGCCCGGCGAAGTCGTAAAGGAGTTTGCCGGTCCTGGTAGTGACGTAGCAGTGTATGACGCCTGCCCTGGTGTGCTTGACACGGAGGCAGTTGGAAGGCCAGCGACACTCGTGTCTCTCTTTTTGCCGGGGCTTCTAGGGCCAAATGCCAGGATTGCGACATTCAACAATGCACGTTTTTTTTTATAACATTTGTTTCCACTTGGAGACCACTTCCGGTGCATGGGCAGGATAGGACGCACCGGTTAGAGATGCATTAAAGGCACCGGCTGTTCTGCTTCGGTATGTGCACGGTACATTCCTTGACAGCAGACTCCCCAGTCACAACGTGGAGTTCAAGGTGATCGGAGGTGCAAAGCCGGAGGTCCTCTTCCTCAACATGAACGACGAGGAAGTTGAGGTATGCAACCAAATCTCTCTTCTGCGTGCAACTTGATGAGGAACTACCGCCGTGATTAATTTGCCTTTAAAGTAGGCAGCAAGCTCAGCTGAGGGCCTTCCATCGAAACTGCGAGCATATCTACCGCCCAAGTCGGTTACCATTGCAAAGGTTTTAATGCTTCGTAACAACAGTGTCTGCTCTCCCGTAAAATTACTATAGCCTAAGAAGTTGGGGGAGAAAATAAATTTATGCGTGCTAATACGATAGATGAGTCCAATAATCACCGTCTGTGTACTGTCACCTTTGTCCACTAGGAATATCCAAAGATCTCGCCTCAGTTCAGAATTTGAAACGAAATAGATGTCAAAGGTTAAAAACATTCTCCTCCACGTAGTCGCACCTTGCGTGGTAAATTGCAGCGGCGTACATTGCTAAACCGATTTTTCGGATCGTTTTGATCGATTTGGCACTCGCGGTAATTGTCGAGAGCCTAACTGGCCAACCTTGCACGTTATTCTGGACACGCAGCGCCATAGCCTGGAGGGGCGCAGCCGCGATGAGTGCAACCAGCTGCTTCTAGACAGGGGCTTCGAGAAGAAGAAGCAGGAGGCTCCCCAAGAAGAAGAAGGACCTGGCTTGTTTGCCGACGAGAAGGCCGAACTATAAGTCCGACCTTTGCTCTTTTCTGTTTGTTTTGTTTTTGTGGCACTTTTGCAGGCGCTTTTTGTTTCTGCACTCCTGTTCTTGCACCGCATTACTTTCCAGAGCTGCCGTTCCTTCACGGCAGCACGTCCCAGTGTCCGAAGCGAGCATTGTTTTGACGCTCGAATGAAGTTACCGTTGGAAATTTGTTAACAAACACGGCGGCGACGGATGTGTCGCGTCGGAAGCTCTGCTCCGATGAACTCAGGGTTGTGCTGTTTTGGGTTGGACGAGGCAATAAAAGAAATGTTTGGTACAACTGTGTGGTCCTTGTCGGCCGTCTCCAACGAGTGGTATGTTTTGTGGTCGTTTCCGAGTGCAGACCCAACATAAAAGATCTCCAACTTCGGCGCAACTGCGGCAACGAAAAAGATCATCAATTTTCTTCGGTGTAAAGTTGCAGCCATGCAGAGATTGTCCTGCCAAATGAAGCTGCATTGCACTTTAAATAATTAAAAGCGCTGAAAAAGACAAGGACAAAGGAGTGGAACGACACAAGGCGCACTCACTACTGTTGTTTTGTTTTGAAAAGTACATGCATTTATAGGCCCCTGACTTTGCCATAAAATCAATTGTCCCAATCAACAGACTGATCTTTGCAGTAAAAAGCACAAAACAAAATTTGTCGAGTGTGCCTCAGGAGTTGTATATGAAATCGGGCGGATGCAGGAATTTCCTGGGAGGGGGGTCAGGTGTTGGTCAGCGTACCGTACGTCTAGGAACCCCCTCCCCCTCTCCCTCGTTTCACGCCCTAAATTTTACACATGCAAAAATCAAGAGGGGGGTCAGGACATCCGGACCCCCCCCCTCTAAATCCGCCCCTGTATGAAATCCCGCTGTCATGTGGCGATGTGTACATTGGCCAGACGGGCAGATGCGTGAATGACCGCGCCCGCGAGCATGCGGCTGCCATGCGAGCCAGCCCGTCTGGCCATCTCACCATTCATTGTAATAGATGCCCGTGTACGCCAGTGCTACATGACATTAAGATTTTGGCTCGTTATCGCGACCGAACATGCAGAGAGGTGCACGAGGCGTATGCAATTAGGGATAAGGGCGTTGAGTGTATAAGTGAAGCGTCACTTGCACTGTCAAAGAGTGAGTTTGAATATTTGAGAGAAGCATTGCGAGGGACACGCTGATGACTAACAGGGTTCTGGGGCCTATAAATGCATGTACTTTTCTAAATAAAACAACAGTTGCGAGTGCGCCTTGTGTCGTTCCACTTCTTTGTCCTTGTCGTTTTCGGCGCTTTTAATTATTTAAAGAACTATGAACCAACTGGCCCAACTTTCCACTTTGCTGCTGCATTGCACTGTTTCATATATTGGGCATGTATACCTTCCATGTAATGGCATGTTTCCTTCATACTCGATGGTGATATTCGCAAAGTGCTGGAGAATTGCGCCTGGATACTGAGATTCTCGGGACGGAAGCAGTCTAATTTGGTTCATCTGTGAGAATACCTTAAACTAGCATACTTTGTATTGGGTAAAAGTAATTAATGTCTTTCTCAGCTTTAATGCAAGTTTTGCCAGCATACTAAAGGCCCGTTCACACTCTTGCGACCTCTTAAAACTTGGTTCCATAAAACCTCTTACAACGAGAGGACCTACTCGCGCCATCTATAGACTGACACGCTGTTTACAAGCAAGCCCGCGTTTGCCCACACCAGGTGTGGGCACTGAAACTGAATTCGAGTGAACTGAAGCATCTGCGCATGCGCAGTGCCGTCGACAGCGCCACCGCGCTGTCGACAGCGCGTGTTGGTCTATTGGGTAGCAGTGGAAACTTGGCGGTCCAGCATATTTTCTATTGCTCTCGCGCATTATCCTTTCTTGGCTCGAAAAACTTTTGTCAGCGTTATAAACGAGCCTTTCTTATAGGTATTACGCACATTTGACCTCGGAAATCCCACAAAACCTTCACTCTTGTGGAATGCAATTCCAGGGTCACCGCATAGATGGCGCCAGCATGCCAGTGTGTTCTCTCGTCCTAAGAAATTTTAAGAGGTTTTAACAAGTCTCGTCTCTCTCGGTCGTACTCGGTTGCAAGAGTGTAAACGGGCCTTTAGTGAGCACCCCAAAATATAGGAAGCCATATTAATTAGGTCAGCAATTGATTGAAAAACCTCCAATTAATCAATTAATGCTTTAATTGCTATCGATATTTTTATTTGGTTGGTTAGGTGCTGAAAAAATTTGCAAGGAAGATGTCTTAATTTCTGTTTATATTTTTATTTTAAAAGGCAGCCCCGTTATCTTCCACGGTATATCTCTAGCATTCCATATGACTGTCAGCCAGAGCGATTGTAAGGCTAAATAAATCATGAAAAATGTTTTATAAAAAAACCTTCAGCCTTCCCACTTTGGTGAAGACGGAAGACCAGCGGAGCTGTGAAATGCAAAGTAACTGTCGGCTGCAAGTCGGCAGGTCAGAGTGGAAAGGCTGCCGCCATCTATGAGCGACGGCGGCAACCAAATACGTGGCTTTCCGCCGTCGCTCATAGATGGCGGTAGGTGTTCAGAGTTCGGTGTGCTCATTTCTTTGCGGGGGACACGAACCTGGGGAAACGAGCCCTTAACAGCTCCGCTGTAAAATAGTCGAAAAAAAAAAGTGAAATTGTGACCAGGGACTCGTACCGTAACCATGAACAAAGCCGAAAACCCTTTAGAAACAAAGTTTTTTTCAGTAATCGTAACCAAAACGAAATTATTGGAAATTTATGAAAACCCTAATCGATATTAATGCAAAAAATAAAAATATTAGTATTTCTCAAGAATGACTTAGAGGAGGGATCTTGAAATGTCTCGAGAATGACCTCGAGGAGGGATGTTGAAACGTTGTGGCCACTTGACGGAGTTACCGTCAGCAAGTGGTGCATCTGGTTATACATTTCCGTTCAATCTAAATTTAGGATTAAGAATACTTAATTGGAATCAGTGGTCGAGCTTATAATAAAAAGTCTTTCTAAATCTGGCACACTCCTACAATCGCTATATGTATTCAGTATGTGTCGTCTTCAGGGCATTAACTCATAAGTTAATCCATCCAAATCGGTTCTTTCAAAACCACGGATGTTTCTGACCTGCAGTTGCCAGTATGAAAAAACGAGGTAAATTGACAATCCTGCAGAGCTGGTAGGAAAAAAAAGCCTGGTATGTATTGCGTCTGAAACGTGTGTCGCAAGCAACAATTTTGGAACAACACAAAAAAAATGTAAGTCAGAGGCTATACAGTGACGTGTCGTCACTGTATAGCCTCTGTTTTGCGACTACAGTTTATTGTAAATTTTTGCACCCGCACCTTTTATTTATTTTATTTTATTTTTTAAAGCAGAGGGTGAAGAGCGAGTGAATACAAGTTGCAGGCGGCACCGGCTGGTCTGGCGTGTCGGTGCTGAGGTTGACAGAGGCGCCAGCTGGACGGGTGACGTGTTGCACTTGCCATGCTCCGGTTTCGACAAAGACAAAGCTTGCGAATGGTTCTTCCAGCACCCAGTGGGAACTTCCTAAGGGTTGTTCACAAATGCTGCCAAACAACAAAGTGGCGATTTTTATTTCGATTATGTAGAATACGATGGATCCCCGAGTATTGGGACAAACATGTACGGTTCGGCATCAAACTGTATAATGCAAATAGATGTAGTGAGCAAGTGTTGGAGCTACAAACGTGCGCATCTTTCGACCAATTAGAAGTACCAAGACATTTTTTAGCTATTGTTATTGTCCCGTTGTTGGCTATCTGGGACTAATTTAAACCATTTATTTTAAAATGGCTGTCTAGTTTTTCAATAAAGCAAATTATTGAAGAAATCGAGAAAAGAAAAAAAGATTTTTAGGAATGTATAACTGAAGCCGTAAAAATTAAAACCGTAAAAAACCAAAACAAAACCAACATCAACAGCAAATGGTAACCGTAACCAAAACGTTATACTTTTTGGTTTGAGTCCCTGGCCTTGACACTTTTAAGATATGCTCGGAGGTTAACACAATCGATTAAGATATAGCAATTAATCAGAGTTAAACTTTTTTAATCGATGCCCAGCCCTAATAATAATAAGAATGACAAAAAATGTAGAGCCCTTCCACTTCACGTGAAAAAGGAGGAGCAGCGAAGCTGTTATCTTCACGACGTCTAGAACGATGCCTAGAGGACGACGTCTAGGACGACCTCAAGGATGACTTCTTGGATGACCTCAAGGACGATGTCTAGGACGACGTCTAGGACGACCTCAAGGACGATGTCTAGGATGACGTCTAGGATGACCCTTAGGACGACGTCTAGGACAGCCTTAAGGATGCCCTCGAGGACGCTGCCTAGGACCACCTTAAGGATAACCTCGGGGAAGACGTCTAAAACGACCTCAAGGACGACTTCTAGAATGACCTCAAGGACGTCTGGCACGACCTCGAGGACGACGCCTAGAGAAATTCAGCCTTTCCACTCTGGTGAAAACCCGTGTGGAAAGGTTGCCGCCATCTATGAACGACACCAGCAACCAGACAAGCGGCAAGCCGTTTGTCTAGTTGCCACCGTCGCTTATAGGCAGCGATAGCTGTCCAGAGTTTTGTGTCGACATTTGTTTGCCCGTGGACACGATACTGGGGAAACTAGCCCATGGTTAATGAGGAGCACTTCATCTGAAGACCTTGTTCAATGCTGCAGAAAGCACAGGTTATTAGCCCCGAGAGCCAACACAAGCGTCGCTATGGTTGCCGCGTCCTGATTGGGTGAGGTGCAACGTGACGTCAGGGGAAGGACTCCGCTCCGAGACCTCGCATCCGGCTCGCTTCCCTACTCCGGTTTCCTGGTTTGGCCGTTGTATACAGCAAGCACTTCGATGAGCAGGACCTCGCTTACCCGGTGTACAATACTCTGGGTTAGGTCGATACCGACGTGCTTCCGTACCTTTTATAAGCGTGCTTGTCACTTTTACCTTTTTAATTGAGTTACAAATCCGGAAAGTTATCGGCGAAGGCAATTCCGCCGATGAACCTCCCTGTCGGTCCACACGGCACAAGGCAATCGTGCGAGGGGTCGTAGAAGCGGCGGTGTAAGTGTTTCAGACGCTGGAATTATGTTCCTTGCATGTTCATGAGTTAGAAGAATATTACACCCCGCCTTGCAAGCATTTCAAATGGCATTTATATCAAAGGCCTTTGGGCGGTCGGCAAGTTAGCTCGCAACCATGTGGAAAAGGGTTGTTTTACATAAATTTACTTCTTCGTGAATTAATAATATAGCTCGTACTCTAAATTAATTTGTATGAGAGCAGGAATAGCGGTCGAATTGCCCCCAGTCGCCTGTATGAGGTGTATTGCACTGCCAAAAATATGCACAGCAGTAGTACCGTAATTTGGAATGTTTATGCTTTTTCCTGGCATTCTTTCTTCCAGCCTTGTGTATTCGGTAAAAACACCTTTTTGTTTGAATTGTCATTTTCAATTAAAAGAGACACTGCTTCAGGTCCCCAAAAGCTTCCTCAGCCTCCAAACTCCCTACAGCTAGACTCTCTGACAACAGAGGAAATACAGGAGGAACATGTCAAACGTTTGAACAGCTGTCCAGTGGTAGATGCTGCACTAGTAGCAGAAAATGTGGAGCCTGTGAAGGGTGACAGTTTGCGTGAGAAAAGCTTCTGGTAGTTTAGCTTCAGGACCATTTGATTTAGCTAAAATCTTAATTTTAGAGCCTAAGGGACTAATAACGGTCTAGACACCTTCGCTTACATTTGTTGTACATTACTTGAGGGATGATATAAACAAGTGTACAGATACAACCAGTGGAGCCCATTGAAATGCTATCCGAGTCCAGCAACGGTCAAAAGTCAAATGCGAGCAATGTATATAAATAAATGTTCCTTCTTTCTGTACTTTACCCCTGTGGTTGGGCTGTCTCACTTCTGATTCTTTCTCCGTGGCCCAGACTATATTTAACATGTTGCTCGAGCAGCATGCAGCTTTTCTACTTTGGCGATCTTGTTTATAAACAGAGATAGAAAAAAAAATAGTATACGTAACCTGCCAATTCATTCAGACCATCAGCAGCATTGATTGTGTTAGATGTAAGTCTATAGTGATGCTCCTGCAATTGTGGCCGTGTTTTCATATACCAGCTGCAATTCATGCGTTGCCTGCCCGTCAACCATGCCTCAAATGTTGGTTGAAGTTTTGCCTGCAGCTACAGGCCATACCCTCGATAAACCTACACGTGAAAATTTAAACTTCCTACAAAAAAAGCGCACGACAATAATGAATTATAAATGAGTGCACCCACAGCTAACGCCATCACAGCCTCAACAGGGTGAGCGGGGCGCGTCGGGGAAAAATTTTGTCCTCACCGTGACGTCACCCCGGTTCGCCGTAAGGGGGTGCCATGCAAACCTCTCGGGGCTAATAAGGGTAGAACGGGGCGAGATGAGAGCGTGCGGGGACGTTGGAACGCCGAGCTCCGATTTGAACGATTAGTGGGTGGACACAAGGCTAGCTTTCTTTGTCTTTGCTCGCCGTTCAAATGCCGGCATCCGGCGCTCACTTTCAAACAGTGAGTAGAGTGGAAGGCAGCTCTTAGCAACTACCCACCCATGGTTGCAAACGGAGCTCGGCGTTCTGACTTCCCCACCTTCTCTTATATGGTCCTTCCCCCCGGACAATGGAATTTCTTTCGACAGGTAGCGCCATCTTATGCGCAGTTTTCGCAACTCAGAAACAGCCATAGTCATTGGACTCGAGCTTGCACATCCGAGTGTCCTGCCGAACTATGACGCAGCGCTAGTGCCCAGTTGTTCAGTGGCATGCTCTGCCTAAAAGTGACCTTTTTGGTCACCAGCTGCACTGAACTAGCAGCTGACCAAGGCATCTTCTTTTCGCTTCCCCCTGGGGTAATGAGCACCTGTGGAGCTATGTTGGGGCTGTGGTGCTGCCCACACACCACATAACTAGAACAGAACCTGTTCACTTTTCAACCATTTGAAATGTCCAATTTTTTAATATTTTAACCTGTTCAATGTTCGACTAATTCCCACACGTTCGCAATTTTCTGTACAAAGTAAAACATTTTCAGTTGGCAGCAAAAAAATAAACAAGCAGAAAGGCAATTACCATTGTTTTCTGAAATGAGGCTTTTATTGAGAAACACCAAATTTCATTCCTAAGAATTATTTTCCAGATTATTGTCTCGTGGACGAAAAATTTAAAGAAAGAGTAAAAACTTGAATTAAGCTGCAGAAAGATACTGGAAAGTGCCCATATGAAAGGACACGTGCGAAGAAGAAAAACATTTTTTTTAAGGGGGGACACTACCCAGGGAAAAAAAAAAATTCTGCAAAAAACATTTGATTTTGAAAAATTACATATTTATATCCATCTACATCCAAAGAGTATTCCCAGAAATTTTCACTAGTTTACACTGCATAGTTAACTTTATAAATTATTTTTTGTCCACCAAAGCTAAAGAAAAGGTAAGGTTTGGAGCACTTTGAACACATTTTTCTCCGTTCCACTTTTTGGTATAAATTCCATTTTACTCAATCTATCGTTTGATAATGGCAATACAAATCTTCACTTTTCCTGACTGAAATTTAATAAGGAATGCACCTATGGAGTTTGTCACTTAATGGATGTCTTTTATAAAAAATATTGACATTTCGTCAGAGAGACAGAAGACCAAAAAGTTGACCAATTTCGCAGAAGAGAAAATTTATAGAAATAATGACTTTTTACAAAAAAACTTTCCATAGGCGCACCTCCTAGGCATTCTGCTACATATCTAGAGAATAAAAATCTTTAATGTTGCGATAGATTTCCGATGATAGATTAACTAAACAATGTAGGGGTGTTGCTAATAGAAGCTGCCCTAATTTCCTTCCCACTTAACCAACAGACCCGAAATTTTGTTATACACCCTGTAGCATGACCACCAGCCTACCCTGTAAATTTCATTAATTTTAAGCCAAGGGTTCAAAAGTTGACCCTCCCAGAGGGTGTCTCCCCTTAAACAGCCTAGATGGAAAAGGAATGTTATAAAGTGAATTTACAACAAAGAAAAATTGTTTAGCTACATTTATGGCGGGAAATGAGTTTGTAGCTGGTGCCCGTGGGAGCTGCCACTGGTCACGTGGTAGACCTGTGCACCGCCGAGCTCGGTGCGCCGCCAGTTAACATGTTTCTCCACGCCGCCAGAAGGGAACACCCCGGCACGCCGTCAATTTCTGATTGGCGCACAGGTCTATCATGTGGTGCTTGTGGTTTTTCAGGAACTTCCTTTAAGCTCTAAGAGTTACTAATCTTCGTTCTTTGTTGCACTTCAAACAAGAATGATTAAGTAACTTTTAGAGACTATAGCAAGCTTCTGAAAGAGTAACAAATAGCGGCCACTTTTCCACGGGTGCCTGCACGCGCCAACTAAAAATGTGTTTTGCGCCGTAAATATAACACTAAAAATTTTTCTTGTTCGTTGCAAATTCATTTTACGACTTCCTTCTCCCATTCAGGCTGCTTAAAAGAAAACAAATTCCCTTTGCACATGTTTTTTAAGTTTTAGAACTTAATAAAATGCTGAAAAGCGACCGCATCAATTAAGTTTTGAAAGTTGAACCAAAAACATACTCTCCTGTAAGGTTAAGTTAAAAATGGAGCATATTGACTCAGATTTGAGGCAATCACTGCAGTGAAGAGCAAAACTGTCCTTTCTTGGCTAAGAGAGCAAATAATGTTCCAAGTGTAAGGTCAAAGCCCTAGAGGATGCCAACCGCTCGCACCAACTGGTGCAATGGAAGTAGGTTTTGCAGCAAAGAGATTGCACTGCTAATCCCCCGAGTGCTCCATTTTAGTTGCATGCCCGGATTATATTCTACGAGCGCAAGAACGTCACCGGGGCCGGCTCGTTAGAAAAAGTCTTAGCGAAGACCGAGTGGAAGAAAGCCCAGCCAAGGTTAGCGCATGAGCAGAGCAGCACGTCAAGTCGAACCTCAAGAGCTTGCGAGCCTCAGGCTTTAGCCAAGACGCCATTTCTAGCCAGCCCAGTCCAGATGACCCCCCAAAAATATAAAATGACAATGAATTCCCTCCACAAGTTTAGCATAAGAATCCCGCAGTGCATCACTTCTAAAAAAAAAAAGTAGAACTCCTTTTTTTCGCTGCTGCCAAAGGAGATGTGACCACTTTTGGGATCCTTTGCCTGCAGTTATTTGTTTGTTTGCATGTTGAGTAAATTGATGCGTTTGTTGTTGCGTTTTTTCATCTTTGTAAAGTATGTGGGGTACACTCTTCTGTGTGCACTGGGCAAAGCCAAGACCGGCTAGAAGAATCGAAGCCTGCAAACAACCTCGTCGCACTTAGGACCAAGTGAGGAACTGGGCCACACGCTGAGCATTCTTCGCCACACCGACACGAGGCCCAGGCAAATGCCGGCGCAGGCATTTAACAGGTGTTTGTTCCATCTCACTGCAACAATGTCAAAATTTGAGCGCACAGGCTCCGAATATTCTAGCTGGTGTTAATAGAGCACGCGCAACACCGACGTCAGTGTCACAGGACGCAATGTCAGATGACGTGACACAGCGTCAATTATGCGCAAAATTGGGCCTTTCCCGCCAAGTCGAGCTATTGAGGCGCAACTGACGGACACTCACAATCTCACGATATGATGGTCCTAGAAACGCCATTCCATTTATTGCATTTAAAAGTGTCTACAGGAAAATCAACACCACAATCTAAGAACCACACTTTATTTAAATAAAGCCAACAAAACAACCCTAATTCGACGCCTCGAGGAAAGCCGGGGCCAAAACGAGTTTACGGAGTCCCTTCTTCGCTGTCGGTTGGGGCTCTCCTCGCTAGAACTGACACAATTTCTCTGCAACTTAACCCTTTCATCCATCTGAATCTCATGCACAGAGGCAAAATCACTATCATTTTTTTTATTAGTTTTCATTTAACATTCTAGTGGATGATCCAATTTAACCCTCATATGTGTGTGCGAGATGTCAAATGCCTAAAAAAATCCGGCGAAGGTAAAAAAAAAAAAATGAACCAAAAAAGAAAAGTCGTAGACTCCACACTTTGTTGGCCACACAGTTCAGTCTGGTGCCCGGCGTTGGGTGCACCGCTGGGGTGGCGTCCGTGCTACACCACTCGCCGCACTTCGAAGAACCTCTTGAGATAGTACACCTGGCCCAGCGTCATGGCAATCAGCACCACCGCCTCGAAAAAGGCCCACATCACAACCCGGGAGTTGGTGCTGTCGTTGACTGCAGAAGGCAACAAACGTGTTGAGGGAATTGTTAGCAACGAGACAATCGGAGCGATGCTTCGGCACAACAGAGTAGTCGCGAGGGTGCTACAACTGGCGGGCACCTTAACCCCTTGTCTACTAACAACAAGTGTCACTCGTGCCCCCCTTTCGGACCCATAAAGCCCAAGCACGAGTGGGACTCTCATTTGCTTCTTTAACGTGCTCTCTGGCAGATGGTCAAACCGCTCCTGTTATCCCATTTAGTTAGGGTAGTTTGCTCATTTGTTTTGGCTGTCGCAGAAAAAGAACACTCCATTTAGCTACGAAAAAAAAAAAGCAGTCGCTTGCGAGCGTTCACCCCAAAACGTGGCTTTGGCGCGGAGGTCCGCTGTAGCCAACAACAAAAGCTTCTTTTTGAAAGAGATTAATGGTCGGGCATATGTGATGACGAATCCTTCGGCCTTTTCGGTTTTTAGGAATCGAACGATAGTTTGATGTGCGCTGACAGGAGTGAAGCATTCCATCAACTTTGGAGTCTGCACGTCAGTGGGACTGACACCAGAAGTCCTGATTTAGAGTAAAATATGACCTGGAAGTCGAGGAAATGTTTTTGCCTCACTGCTCATTTGAAATAAAATTTTCTTGTTTGTTTCGTGAAGAAAAAATTTAGTAGGCAAGGGTTAACAAGTTGCCTTTGAATTTAACTATGCCCCAAAATGAGAGTTTTCAGCTTCGGGCAAGCACTGCCAAAGTTAGGCACAGTGTCTACAGAAAAATCAACACCACAATCTAAGAACCACACTTTATTTAAATAAAGCCAACAAAACAACCCTAATTCGACGCCTCGAGGAAAGCCGGCGCTCTTTGAGACAGGTAAGGCACGTGCAACTTTCACTACAGTTTTATCCAAATGACGGTGTTAGTCTACGTCTAGAAGCCACCTAAAAGACCTAGGCAAGTGTTCAAAATGTAGAGACACAAAGATGACAAAGATGGGTTGAGCACACGGCACATGGGGCTCAGTAAAATTGCCATATCCAGTGAGACTATTCTTAAGGTGTGTACAGTCGAGTCTCGTTAATATGGATACCCGCTATACAGACAACAGTCTCGGGAACGAACTGGGTCAGTGCATGCATTTTTGTCTCATTATCACGGACCCTTTTTGGGGGGAATGGAGGTATCCATAGTAACGAGACATTTTTATACTAACATAGATCATTGTGCGGACTGTAAAGCCTGAAATCGCAATAGTAATCCAAGTTGTTTGCTGAAAAATCAGATACCTAATTTAGTCCGATCAATCGATTTCCTTTCTCTTCTTTCCGACCTTCCCAGCTTCGCATGCATAGCCCCACTCGGTGCTGGGTACACTCTCACGATGCTTTTTTGCGATTCAATCGTCAGCCTCGCTGGCCCTAGTTTCTTGTGTCCCTCAAAAAAAGGTCTTTCACTCTCGCCGTTGTCATTCACCTCGGGGCTGGCTCGCTAGAAAATCTGTCCTAGCATGAAAGACGGCAATGCCAATGCTGTCGCACGAGCAGCAAGGACTATCAAGTCAAGTCTGAAGCACTTGTGTGCCTCGCTGAAACTCCCGTTTCTAGCCAGCCAGCCATAATGTCTGTTTTTTGCACATTCCATTGACCCCTCAATCTCGCATCATTTATGCCCTCGTCGGAGTAACCGGAGGGCATAAATCGAGCCAGAATAACCACAGTCAAAAAAAGCTCCATTGGTCCTTCCCAATAGAAATTGGTCCTTGCCAATAGGTCATCCCGTGGTACAGGCAGCAGAATCAACTGCCCATGCCGCAATCCCCCAACCAACGAGGAACCTCTTGGCATTACAATTGGAGGCCACTTGGCATGCCTCATCGAAAATTTGGAAGAACCACTCAACTCCCCCCAAAGAAAAGCTTTCAAGTGCCGTGTATGTCACAAAATAAACTTGCCCCGAAAAAAGATTTTTATCGCAATACAGTCGCCGACCAATTTTTTTTTGGACTTTGCAGGGACCGAAAAATGTCAGAATAATAGAGCAGTCAGAAAAATTGGCAGATTAACAAACTTGCCTTCCTTACGTCTAAGTGGGCTTAAAAAAGTCATAAATAGTGCCTCGCTTCCGGTTATGCCTCCACTTGCGTTCGGCCACTTTCTATTAGCTTGAGAATCGCTGCCTTCTTTTCTAGCGTTATGGTCGAGTACTATGTGCTTCTTAGCGACACTTCGAGGCAACAAAAGTACAGATGGGGCCATGACACCCAAGCCGGTGTAAATCAAAAACACAACTTGACGAGATGAGAGGCGCAAGTCCATGACTGCAGAATGGCGAATTAAAGAAGCAAATTGATAACAAAGATGACGATAATGACGCGCGGCTAGAGAAAAAGAAAGCTATAGCATAGCGTCACCTAGCGGTAGGACTTGGCAGTGCTCAAGTAGCACTGCCAAACCAAGCCAAAGATGGTGTTCTTGCTGATCGCTCGTGACAATTTTGCCCAAAAAATATAACTTTCAGACTTCAGGGTGTCCGAAATATTGGTTGTGAATATGCACTATTTCTATCGGGTCGGTCACGATTCCTCCTTTAGGTCCGAAATATCGAACAAGTCCGATTTATTGGCGTCCAAGAAATCGGTCGGCGACTGTATTTACATTGCGAGACCTATTTTGAGCTACGAAAACTTCCAAAAACACTCTCCTACTTCGAGACGTGGGCACCGAAGTATAAGCATTCGGAACCACTCAAATAAGCCTTGCTATGTGACTATTGAACAAATTGTATTTTTTCTTGGGAAAGTTTGTTATTTAAGTACAGAAAGAAAAAGGGAGTTGGAAGTAAACATATATTGACCTATATCTGCCTGACTGGGTAAGAATTGAAGTCAGAATTAAAGTCCGAAACCATAATTGCAGACTTTAAGAAAAATGAGTACTCTATTGAACCCCGACGCCAAGGTCTCACCAGACAAAAAAACCAGATGCCACTAGAAGGAAGGCAGCCCCATTGAGTGTGCGCATCAGCGTCCCCTACATAAAGAGGACCAGCCAAGTGCTCACGCGAGTACTAGGAAAAGAAAGAATTCTGGTGGCCCAGAAGCCTGCATCCATACTGGGAAGGTGCATGCCAAGACCCAAAGATTGTCTACCAAAAGAAAGAGCACAGGGCGTGGTTTCCACCATTCCATACACAGGGTGACCTGCAACCTACAGGTACATCGGCGAGACTAAACTTTCCCGAGCAAATCTGCCAATGCAAGAACGACGTGCTGAAGTTAGCAGCGTGATCGCTGAACACTGTGATACCCTAGACCAGGGGTGGCCAAGCTGCGGCTCTTCGCGTCTTAAAGTGCGGCTTGCAACTCCCCCCCCTTCCCCCGCCTCTCTCCCAGTCACAGGAGGACTCGCCCAAACAGAGAAATGGAACTTGTTTTAAGTCGAAACAAAAGTTGCAGTTTGGTAGTCTTGTGCTACTGCTACCAACATTACAGACAGTTGGACTGCTTTTGATTCTGATAGATTGAAAGTAGTTTGAGTTTCGTTTATTGCTCTAAACAAACTTGCCCCCCCCCCCCCCCCCCCCCCTGCGGCTCTTGGAAGTTTCGTGGTTTTATTTGCGGCTCTTAGTTCGGGTCAGCCTGGCCACCCTGGCCCTAGACCATTGCGTGGACTTTGCAAATGCGCACGCGATTGACACAGGGCCATATATCTGAAGAAGACTTTTCTTGGAGTCGTGGCAAATCCAGCATACGCCAGGAACCCTACGCAGGCCTCTAGGTGCCTTGCCCTCTGCGTACGCACATGGCCTCCGTGACCTGACGAGAAAGCTGAAGAGATGACCCTCTCCATAACCAAAAAGATGATTTTTCAATGTTTACGATGTTTAATTTCTTGTTTCAAAGGGAGGTTAGGAGCTGCTGCTCCGCATATTTTAAGTCACTCTTGAAGAAGGAACCGAGCTTGTTGCGAAATGTCGAGTTTCCTTTCAAGATTTTCAGATTTTAAATGGGTGTTTAGCGGTTTTTTGAGGGCGAAACCACGGCATCCTTGATACTCGCATCAGACTTTCCCGTGACCGCTGGTTCAAGGATTACGAACAACAGGGAAGCCCAACTCTTAATCCTGCTGAGCACAGCCGGAAGCGGCATGCAGCTGCCTCTACTTCTCACACTTGACCCTCACCCAGACGAAAGCATATGCTAGCCATGGCCACATTCATGTCCAACGTTACTAGGTCAAGGTCGGTAGAATGCCTGGAGCCTCCTTTTCGCTATGCCCACCCTATGGACACAAGCGACGGTCTAGTGTTAGATGCACATTGCCTGCGGTGAAAAGCCATGATATCGTGCTTTTCACGGTGAACGAAGGGTTGCCACCTGTTATAATGTCACGAATGAAAGGAGCAAAAGCGGCGAAAATCCTGTTTCAAAGTGAAAGATCAATGGGGCAAACGTGTGAGAAATGAAATAAGGAATGAGTGTCGCGACAGCAGAAAAGCGACTTGGTTGCGTAACAGCAAGCGAGAGGGAGACTGACTCGACAGCGTCACGCGCAGCTCCCTATCTAGTGTGAGTCGGCATCTCGTAAATTCGGCCCTCACTGGGCCTTTTCTGTTTACGAATGGTTCAGCAATGATAGAGCAGAAACATGACGAACACCATAATTGACGCTGTCTGACTGGGCCCATCAGCCCGTAGCATTGGCTGCATCTGGACGTAAGGTGAAACCAAGTAGTATAGTACAAAAAGGGCTTGTCAATGGCTTTTTTTTTTTTTTTTTTTACACAATGTACACGAAAATTTTTTAAGACCTCCCAAGTATTGTAGACAAAGCATGTGAGCGAGCTTGCTTGAAAAACGACCGCATCATTCAATATCTCTAAGCGGGTGCAAGAGCAAGCAGGAAACACGGGACTTCTACGCAGGACTGTCCTCCCAATAGCTGTCTGTGCCTTCAGGGGGGGGTGAATGGTTTTACAACCTAACCAGAGGTCAGCATCCTGACAGACACACATGGTGCTATCGCCAGTGCACGGAAGGGCTGGGTGGCCACGGCGTTTCCACTTTCTTCTCAGCTTTTCCGCTTCTTTTTAGTCGCGTACGTCCGCACGATGTTAAAAAAATGTATTCGCTTCATCACTTTCAAACTCAGTCATTTTCTGTTTGGAAAGGAAGCTCACGTCAAAATAAATTTACTGTGTATATTAAGGGCTGTCAACCGGTTCAATTTCGCATAATTACCCCCTCAAGGAAAAAGGGCAACCCTAGGTGAAGGTAAAGTTTGCGCAAAAAGTGTCGTTTGAAAACGATCCTTCTCCGTGACCACTCCCACGGAAACGGAGAAGGATCGTTAGGATCGCCCTTTGCCCGTACCTGCTTGCGTCCGGGCAACTGAGAAGGGCCGAACAACGCTCTTCTTCCATAGAACTTGGCAACTGATAAGTCTAAGAATGTTGTTTGTATCGACTGTTTTACATCAAGTAAGCCCCTTCATGGTGGGAGCCCCCCAAAGAAAACTGAGAAAAGAATCGGACTTACTTGATCTGTGGATACGGTCCCTGACCATCATGTACTCCTGTTCGTGCTTCACCGCAGTCATCGATGTTGAAAGCTCCTTGATCATCTCCTCCAGCTTGTTTTCGTGTGCTGCACACCAAGACCAAGCAGGATAAGTGAGGCCAATGGCACCTCCCATAATGTCCCCTTCACACACTTGCAACGGAGTGGAGCCAACCGAGATAAGACCGCTTTTTAAGCCTCTCGCAACAGCTCAGGACCAAATGAGCTGCTGCGGAGCTAGTCTTAAGCCGTCGCAAGAGGCTTAAAAACCGGTCTTGTCTCAGCCGGTCCTACATGGTTGCAAGTTGTTGAACGGGCCTTAACGCTCGCAACGACCACTTGGGTCTTTCGGCAACACCCGTGCAAGCAGAACAAAACTAGCAATTGTTGCGAGCCCCTCTTTTTGCGATTCTTTAGAATAACCTTAAAATGACCGCTTCATCCGGTGTGGGGATTGTGATCCCTCAACATTCTGTCGCGTCAGCGTTTTGGCACGCCGTGGCGGCCACGCTGACGTAGCAAGGGGCGGCGCTGCTTACCACTGTGAGTGGCTTCCTCCTTTCCCCCTTTGGGGCGATTTTCGTAACGAACCCCCGCAAAGCGGAGATCGACGAGTCGCTCCTTGATTGGCCACTTCGCCCCCGCCGTTATCTTAAAACCAGCGAACAGCAGGATCTCGGACTCTCTTCTTCCTGGGATTTGGCGGCGGTGACAACGGGGAACAGTCCGGCGCACCGCTGAGCGTTTACCCCGTCCTTTTGTACCTTTGTGAACGACCATTCGGCTGTGGGCGATCTCCACACCGACGGCGTTCACCAGCTTATAGCCGCTGTTTTCTTCTTTTTGTTTCATTGTAAATAAACAGAGTTTATCACCGTTACCAACGTGACTGGTGTCTGTTTGCGATCAATGAGCACAATGCCACGCGAGTACAAACCCGCTTCGCGGTAGAGCGTCTCGCCGCGAATGTGGTACTCCCCAAAGGCAGTGGCCCAAAGGAGAACCATACCGGTCACTTTATAATGCAGAGCTTTAAAAAGGATGGGATGCCTCTTGGGAGCCTCGGGGCTTGTGGACTGCAAGCTAGAAACTGATTGTGTAGTATCTCAAACTTAAAGCAATAGGCACTTACATCTTACCTCACTGCCTGTTGCTGAGATTGGGACGGTGTTTTAAAGCCTTTTTCTGCGTCAAAGATGGCACCCAGATAAATGTGCCAATTGCTGTTACGTAATCCAGCAGAGTGCCGCCTTTAACCCCTTCCCATCATTTGTCGGGCCCAGCGTGCAACGCCGGGAAGGAGACGGGCATGCCACTGTAGGTTCATGTATTTTAGACACCTTCCCCAGCTGGGCATCTACATCGGGGTTTCCCAAACCGTGGGTCGCAATCTCGAGGGGGGTCGCGACAAAATGGTTCGGCGACTTAAAAATAAACCTGGCTCGTCCGCTTCGGTGTTTTTCAAGCTAAACATTGAGCCGGAAGCGAGACTTGTGGTGTTTAAACTCTGCCTTCGTTTTGAGAAACAAAAGCTTAATTTAGTCATTATAAGAGAATCATTCCTGCTGGCTTGCTTTCTTTTTCTTTTTGCAATGGTTTTTGGTTTAGTCAATTTATTCTGTCAAGTAAAGTTAAAGTATAAATTGTGTATTACTGTTCATGCACAGAAATGGAAAACCTTGTGGCATCGCAAAAAAATGGGGGGGGGGGTGTCACGATGTGGTATTTCATATTTTGATGGGTTGCACAGTAGCAGAGTATGGAAAGCACCACTCTACGGGAATAGAGGTGAACGAAAAAGTATGATTAAACATATAAAAAAAGAAACAACACATCTCGTGCTTATTGTTTACTTCATTCACTGACTACCAACAACTGACTTATTTCATTTATGTTGACAACTGCACTTGAAAAGTGGCATGGAAGCATCCGTTCAAGTTAGGGTAGGTGTTACCGAGTGGGGACGTCGCGAACCTGCCGATGCTCCAATTCATTCAGGTTCAACTTTTTTCAACTTTTAACGCAAATCAGCAAGTTCAGCGCGGGAATTGAAAACGAACTGATACCCCTTCACGGAAGAGGGTAATGAACTAACAAAATAAATAAAATACCATATGTTTGCTTTTGTATTACGTAAACATTGGTAATCATTTCCTAAAATTTAAAATGAACTATTGCACATTTTTATTTTCTTCCAAAATTTGCATTGCAAAGAAGTTTGCCAACACCGTTGAAAAGTAAAGCTTTGTCCAATTTTGTCAAAAGCTCGAAGACATCCGGTTCGACGAGAGATTGCAACATCTCCATACTAACTTTTTTGCGCGTGTACAACTTTGAGCGACGTCCAACAGGGTGCGCACGGTTACTCGCAGCTTCGGCTTCGCCGCCTCATGAAGTTGTATGCAGGGGTCTAACTTTGGTGAAGGGGAGAGTGCTTTCGATTGGACGGAGGCAACACAGATTGCCCCTAATCAACCAATGAGACATTTTGGACTTGTTCGCGACTACACAATCAGGCAAACTTTTGCTAAAAACGTCCCACCAATTCACAAATAGCGAGAAAGCTCTCTAATGTGCTCGTCCTCTGTACTCCTTCGTACACTGGTCAATGTCAGCTTGTGTACGGCAGCAGAACAACTTGAGGTTTGCAAAAGAAGCGCAAGTTGTCAATGGCATTCGACGTGAAATTGCAGATCACAATTTCGGTCGCGTTCGATCTTACCCCGCAGCAGCGCTCAGTTCGTAGCAGACAAACTTTTTTTCGATCCGTTGGGAGACGACATTGGTGTTTTATCGTTTTGTCAGCTAATGAGGCTTCGTAGCGGACGAGCCACAATCTTCGCTGGCAAACAAACCGTCTACGAACGTTATACTGGCTCGCTCTGTGAGAGGCGAATAAGATCTCACAATGACCGAAATCGGACCCCAGGTTTAGTTACGGGCTTGCGGGCACTCACCTTCCTCTCCCTCCTGAGTCTTGGTGGGGGCGTCGCCAATGTCCATGGAGAACATGACGATCTTGGGCGTCATGGTGGACATGGCGTTGCTGAAGCAGTAGTGATACGTGCCGTCGGCGTACGCCGCAAACGTGTACTTCCCGCTCGACTCCCGCTCCCCCTGGTACACCACCTTGCCGTCCGGTCCCGTGATCTGCAGGGACACGTCAAGAAGACCAAACCAAGTTAGACATTTGCCTTTAAGTCAGGGGCAACATCTCCAGACGTGCAATATTGCCATGTGTGTGGAGGAGGAGTTGGCAATGCACGTGGTTGTCACGCGGAGGAGTGGAACTTCACTCAACCCGGCTCCTCCTTTTATAATTCCTTACTCTACTGGAAGGCTCATTCTCGGCAGTCATTGTGTGTTCTAGTTGGGAACAATCCTGAACTTGCTGCGTGCATAAAAGTAATTGGCTGCTTTGCGACAAAGGTACCGCACGCTGCTGGTACTTTTGTCTTTAAAGGGGCACTGACACATCAAAATCATATTTTTTTTTATTATCCGAAACGATTGAAAACGATGCCGGGACATTACCCTCAAAATTTGAGATTTGGGAATTCAGTATTCGTGAAGTAAAAAAACAATTTCCAAATGCCGAATTCGAAGTTCCCGCGCGATCGGCGCCGGTGCCTTGACGTCAAAAATTGAGGAGACCTGAGAGTCCACTTTCCTGTCACCACTCCCTGCTGTTGCCATGGCGACCCAAAGCGAGGAGGATAGGAGCGAGCGCCGGCTTGCGCCGGCGTTGCGGCGGACCGGTTTTGAGCGGTGTCGCCTGTTTTCCGTTGGAGGATACAAATCCAGGAGACGGCACCACAACGAACTCCCGATTTTTGGTATTTCAAAAAGAAGGGCCGTAGTGCGTTCGCAATTGCGTTAAAAAACATGTTTTAAGATTGCCGTAATTAAATGTTATAGAGATGTCGCCTACAAAGCTTCTAAATTTCCTGATTTTTGACGTCACCGATCAAAAGAAGCGAGGAGGCGAGAGGCGGGAAAATCAAACGCCAAAAATAAAAAGGCGCGCGCGCGCGCGGGAAAATTTTTTTTCGCGATGCGGTTTTTTTTGCGTGTCTATGACTACAACTTGCATCGTTTTAGACAATAAAAATAAATACGACCTTTGGGGTGTCAGTGCCCCTTTAAGATGCACAAGTTCACCTCATTAGTTTATTTTTAGTTTATACCTTAGTATATGTTTCTCTTCGTGACAATAGTTGCAACGAGACGCTAGAATGTGTTGTTTTGAAGTGCACGGCGCTTCGCCCTGCCATTCCTGAGGGGGTAAGGGATTTGGCGGAAGCGCTGGGTTTTTGCTGCCATGGATAAAAGAATGGAAGAAAAAAGGATTACGACTATGGGAAAAAGGATTACGAAGGAGGATACCGAACATACGGTGGAAGCACCCACTTCGTTTAAGCGCCCACTATTAGCATTTCCCAAACTTGTGAATTCTGCAAATTATACGTTAAGCGCCCGATTTGATCGGACAAGCGCCCATGTCTAGATTAACCCAGTTTTCAGTGAAAGTGGGATGGGCGCTCCCCCGGTATTTTAAGGTACAGGATTGGTGGAGAGGGTCTAGGGAAGTGTGATAATGCAAAAAATTGGTGGGGTAGACGATTTATAAAGCCGGAATTTAGAGTAAAATTTAAGTGGGAGGGGGGTGTAAATGTTTCTACGCTAGGTGGCACAAGCTACCACCAGACACAAAAGGTATAGCCACTAAGAGTCATCTATCCATCCATCTGTTAGAAATTTAGTCAGTGGAGTAAAATACTAGCCTGGGGTCTTTTAACGTGCGTCACAAGGTAGCGACACACAATCGCTGGATTCTGCAGCACGAGCTGTCACTCCACGTGTTCTGCGGTGCATTACCACACTTAGCCATTGATCCCCCCTAAGTTATGGGGAATTTCTTTGCCAGAGGAAGTGTGGTCCCTAAACACGCTGCAATAAGAAAACGACCGAATACACCGACACCAAATATCATTGTTAAATGGTTTTTGCTAAAACTCAGCCCAGCTCATGTTGTACGGTAGAAAAGACAATTGCAAAAGCTCAGTTCAACCAGATTCAAGTTCACACAATTGAGTCACGCAGGCTCATCTTGCTTTTAAGGAAACTCATTTCTCGGACATCGCAATAGCGGAACTTTTCCATCGAGTTCCACACACAAATTGCGGGCACTTGAAAAACGACTGAAGTGTGAGCGGAGTAGAAGCTACAAGAGCGAGCTCCATGCTTTGAATGGGCCTGCTGCTTGCGAACTTGTGCCGTGCAAAAGTAGTTCAGTGTAGCATGGTTATGCTTGTTGGTTCGGTTTGGCTTGCATTCATGGTGAAACAGAGATCGCTTTCTGCATACATGCAGTGTCAACAGTTTTCACGTGACTATGGGCTTGTTTATCAACAAAGAGTTGCCGTACACTGATTTGGCAACACCTTTGGAATTTGTTCCACACTATGCCATGAATTCAAGGACAAACCAAACAGAGAAAGAAAAGCTTACATTTATCACACGAGGAAATGCCTTGGTCATATTTTAAGTAACAAAAAACTTGAAGGAAGGTGTCACAAGAAAATTGTAAAAAAAGCGAACTGTAATCCCCATAAACTGACAAGATTTTTCACATGTTTTTAGCAGTTTTTAACGCCGGCAGATTACCTATTCTTTGGCTAAAACCAAAGAGCCCTCAGCCTAAAAATAAGCACCCGCTTCAGCTCGATTTTGACTTTTTCTCATAAAATGTATGTTTCTCCAAGAAAACCTGTAAGTAGCCAAGCTCATTGTGCTAGGAGACTACTCTACTGCACAGACGATGCAACAGAAACACCTGTGAAAGCCATGAGCACACGCTCACAGCTTTCCCTCCAGCGATGCAGAAGTGTAAAAAGCACAATCCCATGCCTCTAGATAATTTTGTGCACTCCAAATGCTGGCCTCAAATGCACGTAGCGCTTACGCTATGCTTCTTTGAGGTAAGGGTTCCGGTTGAGTTTCAGTGGATCAGGATGAATGGCAGTTCATGCACAAGCATGCCCCAGAGGAAACGTGTCATGCTGTACAAACTGTTACATCACACAAAAGAAATCTGATGGAAGCCCGGGTAGGCTGAAGATGCGGCAAATGACAATCCCATAATTAGAACGCTACTACCACATCTGGCGACTCTTTACAGGAAAGTGACCTGGGGTCATTGATTTATAGACTAACCAAAAGAATTAATGTGACCACTTTTTTTTTTTTTTCGAACTAACCATTTGAAACATTGTTTTGCTAAAGCATCCAGAATCAGACATACATGATTCGCTCGCAGTCTTGAGCCGTAGTACCAAAAGCTTCAGTACTGAACACGGTTTGGTAAGCAATGACCTCAGCATACTAACAAAATTCGAGAAAAACAGCTGCAATTCCTAACCATGGACGAAAAAAAAAAAATAAGGGGAACCAAACGCACCAGCACGTTGGCGCTAGTTGGGCGACACAGGTAACACGCGACACGTCGGTTAACATCTACACTGCTTCACAAACAGCTGCTCACTCTTAAAAGAATGAAACGTAACACTTTTCCGGTAAATCTTCCAGCGACACGGTAGAGGATGTGTTACTAGAAACGGGAGCTGGGGGTCGATAACGTGTGCTTGGGCTGGCTTGTACCGGCTGTTCAAGCGTGAGGCACGGGCAGTGACCGCGTACCGAGCCAGCCCTGGGTGCACTCCCGTTCACGCAGGGGCGTTCTGTTCGGTGTTTCGGAGTACCCACCTTAACGTCGATGTCTAAAAAGCCGCCCTCGGCCACCTCGAAAGTGAGGCCCATCTTCGTACCCGACGTGGCGGTGTCGTGGAAGCATTCTTCCGCGTGAGCGTCCACGGTGATAAAAAGCGCACGGGCGTAGCTAAGGCACACAATTACGACGGCAGTCCGTAGGGTCGACGCACGAACCGAGTACATGTTTTCTTCCGAAAGATGCGACGAAACTCAAGTGTGTACGGCAAGGATACGGTATACGGTTCTAAAAACACATAACAACGCCGCGGCAACCGCTGTCTGCCACGTTTGTTACGTTCACTGCGCATGCGCCGGGAGCGAGCAGGCGGCTGCAGCGCAGCGTTGCTAGATAGAAACACACAATTCACCAAGTACTAAGGTGGGCAAATTTTTATTTAATTGTTTTTGTATATATAAAACTGCCTTGTTTCTCAAAAATCCATGTTTATATTATAAAGTTAATATATTATTTTGGAAGTAAAGGTCGACTACGGCGACGCAGACGACCGAGTCAAGCGGCGAGGCACGTTTGGCGCACGCATTGATAGATGGCGTCAGGAGCAGCGTCCCGTCCGGAGGTCGAAAGAAAGCAGACGACACGCAGACGAAATCCGTCGGCAGCAAGAGCGCCGTCGTTTTGCAGCCGCGTTTTCTTTTATTTTTGTTACTTCAAATCTTGGTACCATTGTCCGCATTTATTTTAAGCCAAAGGTACATTAAAAAAGAATAAAAAAAGATTATGTTCATTTTAATAAACCACGATCTTCGTTGGCAAGGAGGTAGCACCACCTATCAATATGTGTGCCAAACGCGCCCTGCCACTCGACTCGGTCTTCTGCGTCGTCGTCCGCCACTTACCCTGGCGAGTTTTTGTCCTTATTTTTAGAGAAAGGGAGCTACACCTCGTAATTTACAAGGTAAAACCCACCTGTGAAATGCCCCTTTGACGAAAGTTTGCTGCGTGCAGGCACCGATCTTTACGGCCCATTTTAGATCCAACCTCGACATTTCAGACAACCTACACATATCAGGTCTGAATTACTCACACGTTGAACTGTTATGGAAGAAAACGGGAGTGTATCAGGGAAATTAAAACGTTGCATGCTTTTATGCGACAGTCTCGACATCGACAAAATACAGGGTAAAAAGCAGGACAAACTCATCACGCAAACTCCTCCACTCTTTCCACTTTTGCAGAACGAACGCTGGAGAGAGAGCTTTGTGGGGAAAAAAAAAGGGGGGGGGGGGGGGGGGGGGGAAGGGTCCTGGCTAGCTGGACAAGAATGACAAAATAAGCCATGGAGAAGGGGAACAAGGGGGACAAGGACAAACACAAACCTCCAGATTCAGCTAGGTGACTGGTGCGCAATCGAAGAAATCCGCCTGGTCATGGTATCGAACCAGGGACCTCTCCATTTCCATTGGAGAGCTCTACCAACCGAGCATCAGCAGAGCAAACTAGTTTTATCAGCTGCCAGTCTCATACCAATACTTTTGTGTTATAACAACCGTGTTAACGAAAAGTATTGGGGTATTGCCTAACTTTCACACCAACTGTCATTTAAGTTTCTTTTTTTTTTTTTTTTTTTTTTTTAAGCACGCATATTATTTTATTAACTATAACATGAGGCAGACGAGTCTACGCAAAAAGGCTGGTGTCCCGGACCGCTCGAAGTGTGAACTCGATAGTAAACTCACTCACACTGAACAATTAAACACGCGCATCAGAAAGACGGTCACTCACGTCGCGCTGACTTACAACTCAGTTTGTATTTTCGTCTTCTTTCTTTTTCTTTTACTCGTATTAAAATTATATAACACTTCGTTCTCTTCTGTACAAAACGAATAGCATTGTCTATCACACATTACCTTCGAGATCAATCCCCACCCCTGCCCGTTTCGATCTGGATGAGCATCGTACCGGCATGCGGTCGTGTATCACTACTGCGTGATGCACGTTAAAGACCCCAGGCTAGCGGTTGTACTGCACTGGCTAAATTTCTGATCTACAGCTGGGAGACTCGTCGCCCGTCGAGGCAGACCAAGTTCTAGGCTGTATAAACATACACACAACCTAATTTTTTACGTTCGAGAGTCAAGACTGAAAAACAATTGTTATATCTTGACTCTCGAAGGTAATGTGTGATAGACAATGCTATTCGTTTTGTACAGAAGATAATGAAGTGATATATAATTTTAATACGGGTAAAAAGAAAAAAAAGAAAGAAGGCGAAAATACAAACTGGGTTGTAAGACAGCGCGACGTGAGTGACCGTTTTTCTGGGGTGCGTGCATTTTCAGTGCGAGTGAGTTTACTTTTGCGCTTCTCCTACAATATGCATATCCAACTCGCCCAAGCATCCATTCTAAGAACTCGATAGGTTCCTTAAAACCCAACACCAACACTCGAACATTGCACATGATGGCTGGTGTGGAGTTCGGCACCAGACGACGCGACGAGTTTAAACGGATTTCGACGAGAAGGAGACGATAAACGCCGAACACCCGGAGGTACTTCAACAACGCGATAAGAAGCGCATGATCGTGACCAAACCGCACGAACCAGAAAGAGAAAAACAGTGTATACGGCGGTTCAACGCCTTTCCCCTAACTGTTTTTACGAGATGCCAACAAAACTTTAAAAAGTTACATTTTATTTCTTTCTTATTCCGAAGCTCGAGCAAGAAGAGCATTTCCTTATTTCGCCTTGGCGGCACATAATGGCGCAGGGCCGATAACTGTGCCCGGTTTCGATGATCGCTGCGATCAAAAGTCGTGATGCTCAAGACGGATCTTTGCATCCACAACACGGATGTGCACGCACACGGTCTATCATGCACACGCACGCACGATCATATGCA